GAAAAAAGAGAAAAAGGAGAGAGAAAGAGAGAAAGGAGATATATGGAGGAAAAATAGGAGAAAGAGAGAGTAGGGAGAAAAAAGAGAGAGAGAGAGAGAGAGAGGGAGGGAGAGAGAGAAAGAGAGAGAGAGATTAAAATAAAGGAGAAAGAGAAATAAAATGCTTTATCCCCTCTCAGCCAGCAGGGAATGAAAGGCTGGAGGGCAGCCCTGATCCCATGGTTAAGAAACATGAGTGCCAGCTCCCATCATGTTGATTAGCTCAGGGGGCAGGACTGGGGAACATCTKTATAGCAATCAGTCTAAAATGGTAGATTCTTGGGTGCATTCTTCAGATTAGTAATAATTTTAAACATCAAGTAAAATGGTTAAAAATGTCTTTTAAAGATGGAGAAAAATATAGGTTCATAAGCATGTGTACRTATATATGTAYGCACAACATATATCAGAGAAAGAGTTCCTAAAGTCCTTGGGTCACCAGAACAACCCATAAGCTTCTTGGGGAATTTATAAGGAATTCAAGAAATTTATAAATTGAACTGTTCAACATTGAAGTCTTCAAGGCTACGATGAGCCAGGCAGGCAGCTGCGTGCGCATGGACATGGTTTTGCAGCAGTCGCTCCTGAATGAACTTGTCTAGTTTTGTGCCAGTTTCACAAGACTTCACACCAGGCCAAGAACATTTAGGACAGAAAAAAAACATAACCAAAATAATTTAAACTATGAAAGTAATTTCCAGAGTCAAGGTAGCACAGAATATGTGTTGCATCCATATATTATGAATCTCGTAACTTTCAAAAAAACACCTTACACATGTTCAATACACCCGCTAGAGACAAGTGATGAAGGGGTTATTTGGACAGGTTGACCAAGCAGTGCTGAGATAAGAAATGTCCTTTGGCTTGCTGGTTTGGCAACATTTCTGGTTAAAAAATTTTAAATGCTGTAAAAAATCTATATACATTCTTTAGTAGTATGGAAGGAAAATCAACTGCAATTAGGAATAAAGATGAAAATTTAGTTTAGCAAACCAGAATGTAACCCATAATCTCCATGATGTCCTGAACAGTCGTGCAGAAGGCAGGCAGAGGACAAGYAGTGACAGGCTGAGCGCAATCCTGGCATCCTTTCACAAGGCCCTTCATACCCAGTCATCTTCCTCCTCCCTCTCACGCACCAGTCSCAATGGCATCAAAATTCAGAGACTGATGGAATGGGAGAGGTGCAAAAGTCCTCTTCTTCCYGCTCCATCCCTTCCTTCCCTTGGAATATTGTTGGCAAAGGCAGATTGAAATGCCAACGAGGCAGGACCACCATGAGGAAAGAAGAGCATAGAAAGAGAGGAATTGGCGCAACTGCAGGGTTAAGCTCTGGCTCCATGATCTTTAACACCAGATTAGTTCAAAYTGCAAATCTTGCACAGATCAGACATTCAAATTCCATCAAATTCAGTGGAACCCATGAGACAGTTTAGGCTGCAGGAGAAAAAGTTAACAGGCACTGCAATATCTGGACTAGAGCCTAGAAAAGAGAGGCCTCCTTTTTCTTTTTGTGAGTATTTATCAGAGAAGCATTTTTCTTCCAAAATTAGACACCCTAAAACCAGATTATATTCTATCCTCCCCTATCCTCCCCTATCCTATCCTATCCTCCCCTATCCTATCCTATCCTATCCTATCCTATCCTATCCTATCCTATCCTATCCTATATTCTATCCTATATTCTATCCTATTATTCTACCATAATACATAAGTTTTAGCCACCGGTAAAACTTTAGATGACACAGAGGGAAAGAATCCATTAATCGTAGCTGTTGGCACACATTAAGCACAGAAGGGACTGCAGGAAGAGCACAGACCTCACCTATATATCCTGATATTCTAGGCTCCATTAGAAAGCTTGTGGTAGGTACCAAGGCTCCGAAACTGCTACATGATGTGTTTGGTCTCCACCTCATCTCCAGGAACTCTCCCTGTCTTCAAAATGTGGTGTGGTCTCGTGGCTGCCCAAAGGGACATCACTGCAACAGCAGAAAAGGTGGCACACAAGGAGGTAGCTCAACGTGCAGCCCTCTCCACACTCCCACCTTCTCCAGCTATTTATTCCCAGTCTCACATTGCAGCTGAAAAAAATGGGGGAGGAAAGAGCAGTATTCTCAGAGCATTTCAGCTAGAGCAGTTCCTCCTTCCCTGCAACTACACAGTGCGGGACAGGAGGTGTCACAGAGCAGGAGATAACAGGAAAGGCAGGAATTGCGCTCGGAAAGGCGGGAATTGCACTCACAACACGGCTGCTAACCCCATGCGAGGCGTCCAGGGTAACTCACACAAGAAGCAAGCCCCACACGCTGTGTCAGAAGGTGCTCACGATGTCCACGCAGGAAGCCGCCAGCAGCCGGGGGCCGCTCAGCCCTCTGCCAATGCAGCTTTTATACTGTATACGCACACGCATTTTATTCACATAAACATTGCAAGGGAAAAAAAAAGTCAATATTTGATTCTTTTTAACTCTTTCAGTGTGGTAGTTGCGCACGCTGCTCAGGACAACCTGCAATATTTCCCCRGCCTTTCCCAGCTCCATGAAGGACAGTTACCCACAGCAGGGAGCTGCCAGCTGCAGCAGCAGGAAGCCTTAACAAAGCAGTTCCGTAACAGTGCGGAGAGGGTCTGTAAAGAGCCCTTTGCCAATGCCATTTTAGTTACATATGTCTTGACTTCAGCCAGCACTTTTGAAACATATCAAAATCAGCTGAAACCTCATATATTTAAATTTGGCTTCTATTATAGTGAAATATGGATTATCCTTTTGCATTAATTAATCCAAAAAAGTACACTCAGTGCTATAAAAAGCAGATCTAACAACTAAATATTTGGTATTTACATTCAAAAATAGAACGACTCAGAGAGGATTCCAAAGGAAACTCCAAAAAATTTACAATATTCCTGTACGTGCTAAAATCCCAGAAGGGAAAATTCCCCCACTGCATCTTGGGCAACCCCTGCAGGGCCATCCGGGCTGCACATTGAGCCAGGTTCCTGTTGTTCACCCACAGCAAGAGCTGGGCCAGGATTAGGGATCCCACCCAGCCRGCCCCAGGGACATTGGCCTCACGAGGCCAGTTCTGATGGGAGCCTCCAAAGACACGAGCACTGGACTAGTATCATTTTCTTATCTTCTGCTCCAGCTCAACACGTGGCGGCCACTGATAGGACAAGAGGCAATGGGTGTAAGTTGCAACGCAGGAAGATCCATCTCCAGGTGAAGAAGAACTTGTTCACTGTGAGGGTGCCAGAGCCCTGGCACAGGCTGCCCAGGGAGGCTGTGGAGTCTCCTTCTCTGGAGRTCTTCCCAACCCGCCTGGATGTCGCCCTGTGCCCCGTGCTCTGGGTGTCCCTGCTGGAGCAGGGGGTTGCACTAGATGGTCCCTAGAGGTCCCTTCCAACCTCAGCCGTKCTGTGATTCTGTGAACATCAGACAGGTTGTCTTAACATATCTATGGTTTAAGTGAACCTGTTTGACTCTATCCTGGACAGCACGAAGGAAATACCTCACACAGCTAATACTGTTTCAGCGGAGGGGAAGCAACCGCTGAACAAAAGCAGAGCGCCAAGTTCTGCTGCCTGCCACACTCAAGATGCTGCTCTGCACAGAGAGGGGCACGGGGGTAGATCCGAGCAGCAGAGCCCAGCAACTGGCCTAACAGCAGCAAGGTAGGAAGCATTCAGCCGCCCCCATCATCTCCTTTCTTACTGGGAGAGCAGAGTCAGAACTGCAACAACTCCAGAGGAGAGATTAAGGCAAGGTCAGCAGCGTTGGGTTTGATTAAGACAAGACACAGGGTAGAGCCGCACACCTGAAGAAAGCTGAGTGGCTACAGAGCATTACTGCTCTGCAGCAGTTCAGATGATCAGTGTTTTCTTACTATTCTAAGCAGTTTCTTCTTCCTCAAGGAGAGAAAAAAAAATCATTTTGTTAGTTTATCTCCTCAGGAAAAGCAGCAGGTTTTCCTGCAGGCTACTGCTTCAAAGTAACCTGATCCACAAAAACGATGTCAAAACAGCTCTGTCCTCGTTCCACAGGAAGAAAGCCMAGTGTTAGTGCTCATTCCCAGGACATTCCCCTCCCCCCGCCCAAGAGCACCACATCTATGCTAAGCAAAAGAGCCTGTTGCACTGAGCAAGTAAAGAAATACAAAYCTTCTCTTTATTCCATTCAATTCCAGATAAAAACAGATGAGCATTTTCTTTCAGGTTAATTTTAAAGCAGTACTAATAACCTAGAGGCTAACATTTCATATTGGAACCTAGTCATGTTTATACAGCATGTATATACTTAAGGTACAGAAGTTGTTCATGGCACACAATTTTAGTCTACACATTTTACTGAATCTCATCAACCAGCAACGCATGTGAAAACAGAAGYGTCCTTCCCCATTGCTCAAGATCTTTTTTTCGAAAAAACATTTTTTTTCCAGAGAAAGTAAGTTTTCTGTCAGGCTGACTTCGAGTTTTTTTTTAGCATGGTATACAACAGTGTCATTGTTTTTAAAAGGCCAGACCCTATTTTGTATGTGCAAGTTACCCAACCCGCGCGCCCCTGTTTGTGAGCRGCCGCTCTCGGCCAAGGCTGCGCCCGGCTGTGGACCTGGGAGCTGAGCAGCCCACGCGCCGCAGGACGGCCACTGGGATTATTCCCATCCTTGCAGGGACAGACGTTTTAAAACAGTGTCTTTTGAGGTAACTGATTCTGGGATCTGTCATCACATGTTATTACCAAGTAAACTGCAACCAAGTGTAGCTAATCACGTATAAATGGCATCTGTTCTGCAATCAGGCTATTTTTTATCCCATGTCCGCATTGTAAAACGTGATAGATGAGTACCAGCTTAAGAGCAATATAAGGCTACTGATAACACACATGGAAAAATKAATTCTCATTTACTTTACTCGGAAAAGGTTTTATTCAAAAATGACCTTCTGTGACACAAAAGTCACAATCTGTGCAGTTGCAGGCCCTCAGACAGATATAAAAAGATGAGACCAGTTTTTACCTTTAACTGTTTACATCTTATCATATCTGAGTTGCCAATAGTAGCACAACAGTATCTTTGTTTAAAGAGCCTTCTCCGAGAGCTGAAAAAAGCAAAAAAAAGCACATCTGACACTTCGACTTTAGTTTTACAGAARGAAAATTACACTGGGGCTTCAGGAATGATCTCTTTTAAGTTACATGTTAAGTCTGTTTTCATTAATTACCAGATGTTAAAAGCAACATAGATGAGCACAACAAAAGCAATTTTACAGAAGACTAGGGGATGCAGTCAGTTTATAGAACCCTGTGGTAAAATAACTAAAGCATAAGTTACATTAACAAAGGCTACAGTACAAAGACCTTTTACAGCTTCATTATTTTTATGATTTCCTCAGCATTTTTAGTTTCCACATTACAAAAGATGAAGACACTCCCCATTCCACAGAGCAGATAACCACAGATCCTCAGTCTATTCAAAGGCACTTTTTTCTTTTTTTTTTTTTTTTTTTTTTGAAATTAGTCAGATATTAAGTTGATACTTGCTTTCAACATGTGCTGGCCTAACAGTCTCTTCAAAAGTTCAGGCAACATAATGACAAATTACATCCCCCTCCCGCTCCAGATCATGTACTTATTTGAGACCTTTATTTTATAATTAAACCAGGCTACCAGGCTAAACCTTTGGCCAGCTTTGCTTTCTTTTTCCCTTTAACACGTTGTGCCTTGAGCTTCTTTTTCTGCCTAGAATTCATCCATATTGGGTACTGTCCGTGCTGGTCTAGAAGAGTTTTTTTATTTCTTTTATTATCCGTGTCCATTTTGCAGTCATCTGAAAAAGAAAGGAATTTATAGTCAGCAAAATACATGAATCAGCTTAATAGAAGCTATTTGTTACTAGATTCACAAGCATGATAAAAATATCTCTATACACAACACTGTTTGTACACAAAGAGCTGAAGGCTTTATACATCAAAACTGCTTTCCAGAACAGCATAACTGCAAACAGGAACTTCAATAGCTGATAATAAATATGAAGAATTTCCCCTAAAGGCCCATGTCTGGGCAAAGCACCTTATTTCTTTAGCCTGCCATCTGTTCCAATACTGTGTGTCTAAAAACACTGTGTGTGGTCTCCATTAAAAGCTGCAACCATACAGGAAGCCATAAGCTTACTGAAACATAGGTACAATTAAACACTTTTTATGATTTAATGTTTAAGATCCATCAAAGTTCTGAAAAAAAATTATTCTGAGTGGGAGATGAAGACAGGTAAAGAGAAGAACATAGAGAGAAGCTGAATACACTGACAAATACATGAGCCAGTGAGTCAATATTTAACTCAAATAAGCAAGCACAAAGCCAAGTCTAACTAGGGTAGAAAAAGGAGGTTAACCTCTAGGATCAGGAAGACTGAATGTTATGCTCACTTCTGAGTGGCCAGCTTGCCACCACTGCATCAACTGCATCTTTCAGTGAAACAAGGCTACGAGGGGAAAACCTTGTTCATAAGCACAAAGTTGGACTGTACTCCGCTCTTTTCTTTCAAATCTGTTTGCAAACCTTCTATGTGCAACCCCAAAAGCTCCAGCAGGCACTTGCACACGGAGGAAAGAAACAGGACTTTCCATAGTGCCTGTCTGATCCTGGGAGACCAAGTCCACGAGGGTAACACCACGCAGGCAAGCCGCTGTTTCAACAGAGGAGGCACGTCAGTGTAACGTGAGGCAGGCAGCCTGGGGCAGCCTGCACTGCAGAGAGGTGCTCGAGCCCTAACGCGGAGATGGAGACCCGGATACTTCCAGTCTGCGGAGAATCCGCACAGRGGCCTCCTGCAGCTGGCACAACCAGAGGCCGACCCGGCAAGGGACAGGAGGCACAAGAGTCCCAGCTCCAGAGTCCTCGTGTGACATGAGAGAAGCACAAGAGGCCTTTCTAATAGCACTGTTTTCCAAAGCTCCTAGGAGAGATGGGCTGCCCCAGACCAGAGTGCCAGACGTTGGCAACTCAAGGACAGGGGAGGGAAATTTCAGCATATCGGGAAAATTCAAAAAAAAAGGCAGCGAGGACTTCGATTACACATATAAAGTCCAATTAACTGGCAGTTCAGAGCTAAACTATCACACTTCTCTCTAGTTAGAGTAGCTAAAGGACGGATCCATGGTACCAAACACGTGTGAATAACAAGCATCAGCATRGTTTATACCATACAACAATCTGTTGAATGTAAAAGAAGCAGTCGTCTTCTAAAAGAAGCACCCAGCTTCTCAAACAAAGCAGTGGTTAACTATAATAAAAACAGTCTATAGCAATGAACCGGGTTGTATAAAAATTGGTTTGAGATTCCTTTGCCTTAAATCRATTAATTCATAACTTTATGTACAGCTAGCTTGTTAGTCCAGGATTTTTGTCAAAGCCAAATCATTCCCAAATAAAAACAGATAAAATAAATCCACAAACTACCCGAAATGTCTCAACATAAAAGCTTCTTCTCTGGATTCCTGTTCTATTATCAGTACATTTAAACTGTATAGGGAATTAGCTTTTGACTGAAAGAAAGTATTCCCACAATACACGTCAGCTGCAACATTAGCTTAACAAAGAAATACTCCTGAATAATGAGTATCACTGTTTACAGAGTGCAACTTTCTCACTATTCTTTGCAATTTCAAGAATATTGCAGAAATCAGAAGCAGGAAAAAAACTATTGAACACAAAGGAGTTCCAGGGACATAAATAAAACCTATCAAATGTGTGAAAGAAAGAGAAAGGGACAAAAAYCCAAACCAAATCACCACCAACAAAAACATCTTTAGAAGCTGAAGCAGCTACTAGCAATAGATTCAGGTATGATTATCTTGAAARACATCTGTGTGCGCACAAAATTTTAAAAAACCACAAAGCTGTTTTTGACTTAAGGTCAGATCACAAGGCTTCTCCTTCTTTGGGTCCTTCAAAACATTTTGCAACAAGGTAAATTTCCTTTTGACCAGAAAAGGAGAGATACCTCTAAAGGAGGACACTGATCATTCCTGCAGGATGCAGTATTTTTGGGGCTGCTAACCCTCTACGAAGGCTGGGTGAAACTAGCCACTGTGTACAAGTTACCAGCAGACATGGAACGGGTGTAGGAATGATAAATTGACAAGTATTTCCTTCAGAAATTGCATTTAAAGATGAAGCTTCCAGCTGATAATTCTCCAAAACATTTTGGAACTCCATTTCAAACAATCCTATAAATAACAATTTTTCATCTGGTTTACAAGACATAAAAGCATCATAATCTTCTATTTCCACATCCAATAAAATTTATAGGCTCTTCTACTCAAACTCACAACATTCCCCTATCTTTCCCAGGCCCYGAACCACTGACAAATTTGTCTGCAAGACTGACAGTGATTCCTAACATTATTCCAAATCCTTGCTGAGACAACCCAGCTACAACATCTCAGCAGATCTCTGCATCCCACATAAAAAGCRTCCGACAAAAAATACACCAGCAACATCAAAACAGCTTAAAATGTGTAAGTTGGAGAAGAATAGGGCTGATTCAGTTTGAACTGCAATGTCAAAAAGGGAAGACGTCTTTTCCATTTCTTTGCTGATACGCAGCAATGTAAAACCYGTTTCCACTAAATCTGGATCACTTCTTCATAGACAACATCCTATACAAGGAACAGAGAAAGAGGACATTCAACGGATAAAGCCATCCTCCCTGATCCCATGTGCAATGCAGCCTTAATTGGCACACAAAAACAGAGTCCCTGCTGCCCTGACAGTAAGATATTACTTTTAAAAATAAAGAAACACTCACTCCACCTTCCTTAAGCTCTTTACAAAGAGATCTCAGCCTCGGACCCAACTTCTAACTTTTTGGTTTCCCCCTCAGGCTGTTAAGGAAGTGGTCTTATTTGTAGCTTAACAGCAACAATTTTTTGCTGGGGAAAGCGGTAAATTCTCCTTCACGAGAAGCCCCGAGAAAGCGATGCTGATGCCGAGGCCTGCGCGGCTCCCCGGCCGAGGCCCCGTGAGCGCCACGGTGACTCACCCGCCTGCTCGAGGACCTTCTGTGGGGGCAGGACGGTGGCCACCTCCTTGACCTCCTCCATGACCACGTCCGCGTTCGTCTGCAGGATGCGTTTGAGCCGCTCCAGCTCCTTGGGCGCATTCTTCTTCCTCTTCTCCGCCCGCATCTTCCTCTTCCATTTGCTCCTCAGGCTCTTCGCCATGCTCTGAGGCGGGGGGAGAAGAAGGGTGAGGGCGCACGACCGGGCATCGCCCCTCCAGGAGAAGCCGTTAAGGCCGCCCCTCCCCAACGGTCCCAACGGCCGATGCTCGCGCTCCCCCCCCCCAACTCACCTCAGCCGCGCACGAGGCCGCCGCACACCTGGCGCGCCGCTGTCTGCGCACGCGCGAGCTGGCGCGCAAGTGACGTCAGCGGCGACCACGTGACGAGGAAGCCGCAGAGCTCCCCACCACCACGCCGAGGTAGGTMCCGTAAATCCCCGAGTGAGACGGCACTCGGCGGTACCGTATGTCTTCGTGGTAGGGCCTGCAGGATGCTCAGCAAAAAAGGGCAGCTTTAYGGGTGACTAATTCCACACGTTTCTCAACGACACCTTAAGACATGAAAGAGGAATCTTCACATTGTTTGCAGACCTCTTTTGTCAACAAGCCACTGTAAAAATTCTGGTGTGGAAAGAACACGCCGCCAAGGACCACTGCATAGTGCTTGTGAGACAGGGAAAAGGCAAGTAACAACTCACGCTTCAACACTAAAMAAAAATAATTATTTTTTTTTTAACCCTGCCTGCCATTCCAGGATTTCCATAGGCTGGAAAGAAGTCACCACCACAGTGCTGCTGTTCGATTAGCAGGTACTTTTGCCTGCCAATGAATGCTTTACAATCTTCATTCTCAGCCCTCCTGAAGTTCTCCCCTCCAAGAAGCTGCAAGAAAGACTAAAGGTTTTCACTTCTTTATTGGYAGATAATTAATATATGCAAGTTGGTAAGAGGCTAGATTCCATCTTTAAATGATTTTTCAGAATAATGAAAGATAGGCAAATAAATTACTCTTAATAAATGAAGAACATTCATCCTTGAAGAGTTTCAGTACTCTTCCTGGTTACCTAATTACCTGGAAGCCCTTAACAGGTAGAGAACCTCTCTTTTAGAGAGTTTTTTTTCCATTTCACCAAATGAAAAAGCCAAAACAAACCAAAACAAATGTTTAGCTTAGTACACCAGTGCACAATATTAAACTGAAAGCACCTGTATTCTACATACATACARCCCCAAGAGAAACATTTCCAGCAGCTACAGAATAGCAGATAGAGGCTTTCTGATAACTTATTCTAAGGAAACGAGAAGCTGGCAAACGTTTTAATGGTGAATTATGGCAAGTGCAAATTAGGTAATTAAAGTGAAATGGCTACAGCTTGTTAACTAACATAAATATTCTGCAGARGAATATTCAGCTACACAAAAAGCCACTTATTTCCAGGGAAGGACCCATATTCACAGAATGAAAAAGTAATATTCTCTAGAAGACAAAACTAAACAGTTTGTATATCACCCAACTCAAAACTATTTAGCTGCTTAGGTTTATATATGCTATTTTCAAACCAYCACACATTTGATTATTTTTTATTAATTGAATCTAGCACTCGCAGAATATTTAAGAACAGACTGATGATGTCCAGGTAGAGATTGATTGAAGCYAGTATGTACTCCTCAGGGGATAATTTCTGCATCAGCAAGTGAGTGTCATAAATAATAAATCCAGAGAAGAGAAGCGCTCCGGCAGCAGCAAACACCAGCTCCACTGACTCACTATGAAAAAACAGCTGGAAGCAAATGAAAAATGAAAACAAAAGTCATTTGCATATTAGAAAGGAGGTTTATAAAACTGCAAAAAGACAGGCCAGGTGTAAAACTGTTCTTGTGTTACTACAAGATGGGCAAAACATAGCGTCTTTTTATGTGTTTTTATATATATGTGTGTGTGTGTGTGTATATATATATAAATTACAATGATAGCTATCATTGTCATTATTTCATCTAGCCCCCAGTTATACAGTCTCATTTACCATCTAAAGTATATGCTTGTGGGAGAGAAATTCTGCTCTCCAGAACACAAGATAATTATCCAGTTAAAAAAGCAACTACCTTCCCCAATCTCCCAGTTGGGTCACAGAACTTTGCCAAATAACCAAAACACCATTTTTATATTAGCAAGAGCAGCATCCAACAAATTTGAATTTGAAATATTATGGTTAAAAGGTCACAGCATAATCTGAAAGTAAGAAACCTGGCTAGGAATACTTTTTTTTCATGAAAATATATTGAATTGTTCTTTTAAAAAAAATAAACTTTCAGTTCATGAATATATTTTTTTTAAATTGAACAGAAGGTATCTTACCCTCATGAATCCTGAGATGATTAAAATCCATAAACAGGCAAAGAGGCTGGAAAAAAAGAAAACAACTGTGAGCAACAATATTAATTTTGCTTACAACCTCTTCCCTTCCTACTAAAACACTTAACAAGATATTTGTTAAGCAAATGTCCAAAAATCTTGGATGTCAGATGCTCGCTGGCTTCAGCAATAAAACTTCCTTGCAGAGAGCAGTTAGAATTGATGGCTGAAATTGTATTAACTCCCTTCTGTTTTGGCAACAAATCCAGATAAACTAGCATTGCAGYACTATGATTTTAAGAATAATAATCGCACTAAGGAGTACTAAGATAAAAATAACTTATCAGGAGAGAAGCATTACATAAAATTAACAATTTTAGGCAGRTAATCASCCCCAAAATTTACTTGAAGCAGGTAGTTTCTATTGACTTGCACTTACCTACAAAACTTAAACCAAAAACTTCCTTGAAACAAAAACAAAACAAACAAACAAACCCAATAACAACAAAACAACAGATAAAATACAGCATCATACCCTGCTCCRAATTTGCTGAAGTCTCTCTTGGATTGCAAGGTGTATGCAGTCAGTCCAAGGAATACAGCAGTAGTAAGAATAAAGGCTTGGAAAACAATGGATACATCATAGAAACTGACTGTAAACAAAAAAAAAGGAAATTGTTATTTAAATAAAACATGCTATGTACTTGCTATCTTTCAATTAAATTGAAGTTTAGACTTTCATAGATAAGAAACAATCTTWATTATGAACCAAGAAACAAAATGAGTACAATAAATAAAATGTACTGAAATAAGTAAAATGTACTGAATTACTGTAGGAAAGCAGACAATAGAAGGATGACAATCATTTACCTGTAACAGCAACAGACAGTGCTTCCAAAAGGGTCTACARAAACAGAAACAAAAAACAAATAAAAAAAAAATTAAAAMGAAGTACATGAGCTTCATTTACAACATGGCCTGTCCTATTTTGCTACACAACCCAAGTAAGCATTATAACAYGTTATATATAACATGTTATTACATACCGAAGTTTAATAAGAGGGCTGTATTTTCAACTAACTAATGGTAGCCACTGTCTTATAATACTGGAAGTAGTTGTGATATAGAAAAAGAATAGGACATAAACCGAAAATGAGTAAGAAACATCCCTTAAAGTACACTGTCATTCTGGTCTTCTATTCAGCACACAGCATTAAGCAACGTCCTCATCACACCTACAAACAATTCAAGGGGCTATAAAATTTCCTCAGAGCTSCTGTTATTAGAAATGAACTACATTCTCTATACTTCTCAGTACTTGAAATACTGTAATTCAACATTCTTAAACTCTTACTAGATAGTTAAGTACCTGCATCAATTCCTTCATCTACCCCTCTTTTRAAAAACAGCTGTAATTCAAATTTTTTAAGTATACAGATGCAAGAAATAAATAAAAAACAAATCAGCCTCCATTACTTTGATTCACAAAGTTGATCAAAGTGAAAGATGTGTTAAGAGCTATTACAAAGAAATGATTTATATATATACTTACAAATCCAAAAAGAAGATATAAGTTAATAGGATGTTGGTGTCTGTAGAATGCCAAGGCCAAGATTGTTGCCAAAGACCCAAATGCAGATATCAACAGCAAGGAAGGCCTGTGGAGTTTCATATAATAAAAATCATTAAAAAAAATAACCAGGACACTAAGGAAAAGGTCACATCAAATCAAATTCTTAAATGATCATCTGGTTAAAGATACTGCTTTATATATCCAACCTAAACATAAAGCAAGTTTTACAGTAAAAACACCCTAGAACACATTATGTCACAAGCCCAGGTAAAACCAGCACAGCTGTATGTAACAATAATTGTAAATACATGAATAGGAAACTRTATCTGCACCAAACATACAGTTTCAAAATGGAAATGTAATATTTTGCCTATTTTAAAAYTCCACATTCAGAGAAATGTTGTTTATAAGCATGCAAACGCAGCAAGTATGGGCACCAATATCACCTAAGAAAATGAGYACTGACAAGTAAGTGCTGCTGCTCCAATTAAATCACAAAAGCAGCACACCAGAAAAGGTCTGAAACCAAACAGGAAACACCAAAGTTATAGGTTAACATGAGAGATMTTTGGTGTTCAAATTTAACTACAAACTTTTTTATGAACTACTGTACACACTTATACAGAAACTTTGTTTATTGGAGCTATGAAGTGAAAGTAAAAGCAAAGTCTGCAGGTGCACTTGGGAAAATTAAAAAAACCCCAGAAACTGCAGAAATTACAGAAATTTGCTTCCCCGCGTCTTTTCAGCACAGTTTATTCCTTCTGAGACTTATTTTCTTTTCCTCAGGACAATGTTAGAGGCAAGAAATAAATCCACAGGAATTTGAGAAGASTGACTTTATGGAAAAGAAAAAAGGAGAGTGGGGTGAAGAAATGAGTTGGTAGTTTGGAACAACTGCCTAAAAGCAACAGTATTCCATACACAATCTAAGAGCATTTAGGAGACCATAAAATAAGAAAAGTCACTGGGATTTACTGTAACCAATGCATTGAGTTTTCATAATGTAAATATTAATCACTAATTAATAAAGTTATGACTTTAGAAGCTACATGTTACACAATGACAAACACTTCAGTTTAGCATCTACCTTTCATGCACAAATGCCTGAAGTCCAGTCCAGTACAGAAAAAGTGCAGATGTGACTGTGGTTAAAAGAACTTGGACTGAAAGAATGCTGTAGACTTTCCGTAGAAACGCTAGAATAAGGAAAATAACAATCACATCAGTTCTGAGTTACACTTACTAACTTCACAGTAAACCAAATACAAGAGGGCTCCATGATATGATACCACGAACAACTATTAAAAAAAAAAAAATTGTAATAAGGCTTTTTTTTTTTTCATAAAACTCTGATGTAAGATTCCAGGAAATTTTATGCTTATTCCTGGAAGTCATTATCTAAACAACATGGATGAAAAAAAAAGGGAATAAAATACAATTTAGGAGCAATTTATTCAGACTATTTAAAAGAACACACATAAAAAAACCTCACTAAGAAATTACTAARAATATACCTTCTCCATCCCTTTATTAGGCCCATCTAAAGGACCTAAATGAAGACAGATTCACTTGGAAGTTGCATGCCAAACAGCTATATACATATATATGTATATATGTGTGCGTATATATTTTTTTTTCTAAGAAAGCTTTATAGTCACATCTATTACATTGACTTTTGGCCATCTTAGACATCATTTACAGTAATCTGGATTATTTTWGTAGCAGACGGATTTCCACAGACACACACGGTCCAGGATTCTGTTACCAGGCTGCCTACATGCGGAGCGAAGGCCGCGCCAAGACTTCCTGTCATAGGGGAATGGAGGAAGGGAGTCTATTAGGTAGAATGGGAGAATAAGCTGGCGGGGAGAGGCAACCCCRCCTTGGGCGCCACAACGCGAGCGCGTCCAAGCGCCCGTACTACCGGGGGGCTTCCCGAGGATGCGAGGCGAGGCGGCCCGGGGCTCAGCCCCTCTGACCGCAGGCGCTGGCGCGGGGGGAAGCGGGCGCCCTACCCATGCGGATGTGCAGGCTGGCCGAGGCCACGTTGGTGCCGTAGTTGAAGTCATCCTCGATGGAGCTGCGCGGGTAGCCCCGCTCCRCCGCCGCCATCGCCCACTCGGCCTCGTCTTCCTCCTCGCCCGGAGACGGCCCCGGCCGCTCGCTTCCGGGCCGGCCGCGCCGCCGGTCCGCCGAGCTCATCGATGGCCGCAGGGGGCGCTATGGGCGCCACGGCGCCGCCTTCACCGGGTGCCTCGGGGCGCTGCGGGGCGTCGAGGCGGCAGAGCGGAGCGCTGCGGGGCGCCGCGATGCCACAACGGCCGCCCCGGAACGGCCGCGATGCCACAACGGCCGCCCGGTAAGGGCCGCGTGCAGAACGGCCGCCCAGTAACGGCCGCCGGGTAACGGCCGCCCTCCGCGGTAACGGTCGCCGCGGTAACGGCCGCCCGGTTACAGCCAGTGCACAGTGAGCCTAGACGGCCAGGGGGAACCGCGACGCTTACGTTTTTGTGTATATATATATATATATATAAAAAAATAAAAGATTTGTTGGAGTAGAGTGGGATTTCTCTCTCTCTTTTTTTTTCCCCTGCACAAATCGCATCATTAAACTGGGATGTATTGACCCAGGCCTGCCCACACGTTGTTCGTGATGGCTTAAGGAAGCGTCATGTTTATCCGAAGCTCATTTTCTCCCTGTTTCACTGCAGAAAAGGCTGAAATGTGGAAAAGGAAGTACCTCTGCTGGGGGGGGGGGGGAGGAAGTAAAAAAAAAGAAAACTCAAACCTCTATGAAGTGATTCACATGATTTACGTTTACCTGCTATGCAGAAAAGGTTCTCCAACAGATAAGGGCAGCTGTAGGCTAGGGATGTGCTGACACGTAGTTGGGTTCAGCCATAAGTGATAAAAGGGACCTTCGGCGTTAACATTTGTTGGCATTATATATTCCCCTATAACTGAGTTGGACCCCTTTAAGTGCTTAATGCAAAGTAGACTTCTCTTTTTTTCAGACTTTCTCCTAATTTTGTGCCACATCCTTCAAAGTAAACTCATCTTAATTGACTAGAGCACAAAGATGCTCAACATTTCTCAGAAAACTTTGCAATAAGCTGATTCCTTATAATTATGGAATTGCCTTGGCAAAGTTACCTGAGATTGTAATTTCCCATTTCCGAATCCACTAAAGATACAATTCTGGGTGATGTGAGGGGGAACACGATGTGTTATTTCTTAACTTGGAATGTTATCAAAAGCATACCAAGAAACTGAAGTGACTGACACTTCAGAAATGTGTGTAATAATTTGACTCAAATAAAGTGGTTTTGGAAATTGAAAAATTGTGGCCTCTAATATACTCAGAGTCTCAAAGGAGAAGTAAATAAATCATATGATTCTGTGATGAAATAATTCTGAGCAAAGTTTTTCCACAGAATTGACTTAAAATATTACATTTCAGTCACAGATACAAAAATTATGAGCATTATTTTATATTCCAGGAAGTATTTATGGCTCTCCTAATGTCATTTCTGCATTTTAGCGGCTGCAGAGTGGGATCCCTCAGCTTTAATTCTGAATTCGGAGATTTATGCACTGTTTACTTTGTTGAATAATAACTTGGCTGAAGTAATTACACTGTCACTTCATTGCGAATCCCTTTGTAGGGAATGTCAGCAATGTTCCCTCAGATCAAGCATGCAGAGTTGTGGGCACGCTTCTGGTGAGGCCTTCTCCTGATATAAATGGCACAATTTCCTTTAAAATATCAGAATCCACTTACCTCTCTATTCAAATTAGTAAAGTCCCATGACTATTGTCCTGGCCTAGAATCATAGAATCATTAGGGTTGGAAAAGACCTTCAAGATCACCCAGTCCAACCATAAAGCCATCACCACCATGCCAGCTAAACCATGTCCCTAAGTGCATCTCTAGCTATGTGTGTTGCCTTTGGGAGCAAATGCTGCTTTCACACAGAGGGAATACAGCTGCATGCCGAGGAGGGTCGAGCACTGGTTGTGGAATAGTGGATAACATTGCAGGGCAATTAGAAACGGGGGGAAGGACCCAAGGGACAGGATCATGCAAGGACCTGCCAAGTCTGCATGTCAGCCCCTATGTGGACAGGGTGACACCAAATTAGCACTCAGGCTCACAGCCACCCACGGCTAAGTCTTGAGCTCTGTGTTCCCAATTAGGTACCTCGACGATGAGCTCCCAGCTTTTATTAGAAGAAAAGAATGATTTTCAGTAGGCTCCCAAGCCTGACTAACAAAATGTAAGGTAGCATAAGGTGAGCTGAAAATAACTGCAGTGATAAGCTGTTGTGAAATTCCTATCTTTTTTATTAAAACCCTTATCTTTTGTTATTAGGGTTATGATGAAATTCATTGAAGTTGCAGTTCTCCCTTTTAACCTGAGAGGCTGTTTATTCTCTACCCCTGTGACTTAAAAGGGCCTTTTGACAAATTTCTATAGCAAAGAATACTTGCTCAGCGGTGTATCGAGTACCTGCTACATGACATGGTAGTCTGCTTATGGAAGGCTGAAAAACAAAAAAGTGCCACTTTATAGTGAAGCTGAAAAGTACTGTGCACTCTTTATCTCATGTGATAATTGCTAGCTATTTGGCAGAGTCCATGAAAGCAGCAAGCCGCCTCACTTCTGGGTGAGAAACTGGAAATTTCAGAGCATTATAAAAGAGTAAACTCCCGCAAAATGTTGCAAGTAGTCTGGATGTAGGGTAAGTTTTGCTGAGAGTGTCTATGTAAAGGTAGGATCTTAGTTAAGAGGAGTAAGTCATTCCAAGAAATACTTGCATTCTTCTCAAATACATCCTTAGCAAATATCAAACACTATAAATAGTAAAAACATTAGCTTAACAAAACTCTACTAATTTTTACCCATAGGGATATTTGCCAGTACATAAAGCACTGCAAACAGTACAAACTTTCCACAGAATCACACTGTATATGTGGAACACGTCTACAAATGTGCATTGAATATGTTTGTGATTTAAGGCTATCACTGTGGGATTTCTGCCAGCSAGCTTTGTCTCAGGTTTAGGATGGCAAAGAACAAAGGCTGGAGGATGTAGCAGGTGCTGTAGCACCAAAAGCAGAGTCCTCAAGTTTGCCCCTGAGTTTTCTTCATTCTCGTGACACAGGAACAGAGATGGATGTGTGGTGAGTGACCTGGAGGGAACCAAAGAGCTTGTTTGGAAAAGCAAAAGCCAGAGCAACAAAAGATTCAATGAGGTTACTCACAAGTATAGTCTGCCAAGGTTGCTGCAGAAAGGGAAAGGAAAGATTATTTACAACTGCAATACTGATAAACCCTGCAGTTCTCATGCCAAAAGGCAGCATCATCCTCGTCCTTAGATTTTTTTCTGTGACTTGCAGGCTCGCAGAGAGTGCACTGTGCAGTGAGCTCTGCTTTGGATTGACTGTACCAAGCCGAGCTTTAACAACACCGAGTCTCTCTGCCTGTCTGAGCACTTTCCATGTCTATGCAATTTTCCACTCCTCACTTTGGAAACTATTTGTAAAATGTTAAATACACTTTATAAAAAGCAAAGTATGCTTTACATTGCCTTTATTTTTTGTATTTGATGTTTTCATAAACATGCCTCCATCACACCCTTTCTATTCAAAAGCGCCACAGCCGCTCAGGGCCGCGTTCAGAGCCAGGTGGACACGGCCACTCCGGGCGCCTGTGGGGCTTGAAGAGTTTTCTGTGCTCCAGGCTCTTCCCTGGGCTCCTGCAGGAGAGGCTCTTTCCCACCTGAGCCCCACATAAGGTCCGCGGACTCCTCTGAGCCTTTTGCCTGCAATACACACAACTGGTAGCCTTGCTGGTTGCTTAGTCCATCTGGCACTTGGAGGTACTTGGGAAAGGTACTGGCAGCATTGCCAGGATTCTGCTCTTCTCCTGAGGTTTGTTTCTAAATAGTTGTGCCAGAGCCCCTGTGTTTGCTGTAGCTTTGTGCAGTGCTCCCAGGGTGACCCCAGGCAGCATCACTTTGACATATACGTCTGTAAATCCGCATTTAGGGAAGGACTAAGCCAGCCTCCCTTCCTGGAGCGCCACGTCTGTGACCCCTGCGTGGCTCCGTGACCGCCACAAAATCACAATATTGTGCAGGGCCCCACGGCTGCCCACCAGCATTTGGGCAAGGAGGTAACACCCGGTCAGTGTGTGCCCAAAACAGCACAGTTCAGGCATGGATCGGTGCGGGATAGCAGGGACAGACGTTCGTTTATACGGGCACATCCACCTAGCCATTAATCACCGATTTACCCCAGAGTGAACTTTGTACATTATGGAGTTTACAGGATAGCAGGYTAGTTAGGTTAGAAGGATAACTGTGTGTGTGAGAAATTGTGTGATGATGAGAAATGCTTCCTCATCTGAAGAAACAAGAGGTACTGCAAGATTAATCTCTCACTCAAGAAATTCTCTGTGGGAAGTGGAAAAAACCTCACTGCTGTAAAGCTCTTCTGGATTCTCCTTAAATGTAGGGGACAGGGTGGTGCCGAAGCATAACAGTGTTCTTACAGCGCAGGAGAACAGCATAAAGAAGCTCGGGGACAGATGTGCTGTCTGGTGCTCTAAAATCCCCAAAGGTGATTTGTTAAATCYAGAAACCAAGGAAAGAGTGTTTATCTTCATTTATACGCACCCATTTCATGAGATAGGCTTTAGTGGTCCTGGCCAGGCTGACCTTGCAGTATTTCAGGGTGAATTAGTTCTCTGTATGTTCCTTCAGCTTCCCATATCCCTCAGCTCTAATGACACACATATTCTTCCTCCTGTTAAGTCTGCATTATAAAACATTTCTTTGTACATGGTTGATCTGTCACTTGAATAGCTCCCTCTTTTTTAAAAAAAATCTTTTGCACGCTGTTTATCRGAGATGGCAGGTTGGGTTTGACCAACACAACCGGAGCTCTCGGATGCACAAAGTGGAGGGCTGCAGCTGGGAATGAGCTTTGTGGTGGCACTGGCTGCAAGTGCAAGGGTGACAACCCTGCCCGGCAGAGAGCAGGTAGGCGCCTGACCCTGTATGTGTGCTAAGGATTGTGAGCAGCTCTCACACATGTCAACTATACCCATGTTTTTGTGACACAG